AGTGATATATTCGTTATATATTTTCTATTTTGATCAGCATCAGCACAATTACCAATTAATGAGAAGTTAGCTTAATAAATATGGCATTGAATGCCAATGTAGCAATCAATTACTAAGGGAAGTTTTGCAGGGTTTCTGTCTTACTTTACAGATAGTTAAGACACCATTTTTTCCCATTTATTAGCAGAATTATAATCATGCCAAAGACTCACATATGGAAGTAAGTTTTAGTAGGCTTAGATAGGAGGAGTCTTAATCGGAGGAGTGTTTATAATGTCAAAGGTAGCAGTTGAAAGATCAAATCCCGTTATTATCATATTAGCATAATCATGTGGTAAAGTTGGATCTATATCAGTAAGCAATTATAGATAGGAATTATGAAAGAAGTAATTGAGGTATGCTCTAAGTCTTCCAGATAAATCTCTCGAAAAGCCTAGATAAATCAAGTCATCTTACTAATAAATCGTCTTAAACATATTCACCATAATAAAACTGGAAGTTGAAGTAATAGCTAATCATCTTTCATTTACTCGAGGAACTAACATATTAGGTTAATATGCAAAGAGATCATCAGAGAGATCTGCAAATGTAAGAAAAATTTAATCATCCAACTATGATCTGTAAAACATGGTAATAGCATTGAATTAATTTATTCTGACTCCAATGCAAGAATACCCTCACTGAGAGTAGATTGAGTTTACATGTCTATAAAATATTCTTGTATCATATCTATCCATACTATATAAAATGAGGCCAAATATACCATTAATGTTGTTTGTGCCTTCAAAACATCCAGCTAAGAGTCCTAAATTCTATTCCATCAAAGGGATAATTACTTAGTACTATTGAAGGTTATCAGCTTTGATAGCTCTTTAAACATAATTTGACGGAAGATTTTCATCAAAAATGGATACAAATATTCCAAATAAATTAGTTTAAACTGGCATCCAAACTCCCATTGCAAACGCTTTATTCAGCTGAGGATAAAAGTATACAGAGCAGTAGTAAGCGTAGTACTCATTAACACTATGAAATTAAGTGATTTAGCTTAAGTCATTCTTAATAACAAGTAAGTAACCTTATTGATTCACAGGAACGATCAAAAGATAAATATCACCATTCGATTAATTAATGCTTATAGCATTAATCATTGGTCTTCTAAATATGGCATAATTATCAAAATAACATGTTTTTTCAGCAAGACCCTATAAATCTACTCGCATTACTAAAAGACTTCCCTTGTCTGTATATTCATAATCTCCTATCTTTATTGTTCTTATAAGCGCTATAATGTGCATTTATTTGGAAAAAACTAAAGTTTCCACCTGCTAAAGAGGAGTTAAATTTATCGTGGTTTGATCATAATCATAGGTATTAAGCCAAACAAATCTATTGAAATTTTCCTTATTATTGTAAAGTCCGATTAATGGTCTAGAACCATAAAACCCTCCTACTGCAAAATAATCCAAAGTTGATTCATATTCGATAATGTTGAAACTTGACCCAGTAGTTGAGTTATCTTCAATCTCAACTGGTAACTAACTCAACCCAAAGCAATTAGGAATTGTATCTACTTCACTATAAGAAATGGTTTAGATATCAATTTAAATATAATCAGACAACTTACTTTCAGACAGTTTAAAGTAATATAAGCATTGCAAGTAAAATCACATTAGTTTTCCTTTAAAATAAAATATCCATCATTATTATTTATGCCGATATTTCAATATTATGTAACTAACTATTAATCCTTTTGTTTTAATTATAAAGTATTTAGCATATTTTTTTAATATAAATATCTCAAATTCTAGAGATGGTTACTTAAATTTGGCCTTAAGGGGTTTTGGGGTTTTGGGGTTTTGGGG